ACTTAGGACTGGAACAACATTTTTGATGGATGGTACATTTAGTGCTGCTCCATCATTTAACCGGGAGTGTCAACAGCTTTATGTTATAATGGGTATAACATTTAACACCGTGAGTTATACCTATATATAATTATATTAATTTATACAAATATTGTAAATTACAATATGATAATCATTGCTTACCTTAAACCAATAAATCCATTTGTAAGATGTTTTTCTTATTAACTACTTATTCATAAATATCATATCCAAGTATATTGAGCTTATTGAGGTACATAACTCAGTAATTAGGAAAGGGAGGGAAGGAGGATAGACATTGACAAAAAACTAAATGCTCAAGTACAGCAGTAAGTGGTAGCAAGGAATACTTATATTATAAAGCCCCTCATCCAACTATGTATACATTTTTAATTATAAAATATTTGTGTTTTAGGGTTTCCCAATAGCATTTGCATTGATGTCAAGAAAGACAGTGAGGGCGTATAATGCTTTGTTTAAAAGGTTGTTAGAAATTGAGCCACAATGGACACCACAAACAATTATTGTGGATTTTGAAAGAGCCGCAATGGTTTCATTGAAAACAATTTTTAATAATGTTTCAATAAGGGGATGCTGGTTCCATAGCTCTCAAGCTCTGTGGAGAAAAGTAGGGGAATTCGGTAAGCTTATAAATATTTTTGATACCTAGTTAAATTAATATGTAATAAACAAACTTAAATTTATTACAGGAATGATAGAAATGTGTACTGGACATCGAGGTGTGTACGACATTATTCATATGTTAATGGCATTACCGCTGTTGCCTATGGATAAAGTGATGGAAGGTTTTGTCTCTATAATAGATTTTTATTCAGAAAATGTCGAAAATAATTTACAAGAGGAAAGCTGTAGAAAATTTGATAGATATTTTCAATATTATAAATCAACATGGCTCCAAGGTTTGTAAATCCTTATAAATATTAAAAGATGACATTGGGAGTTTGCTGCATTACAATTTAACATCATTTTAATTTCAATTGGTCAATTACTAAATTACTTGTCCAATCGTTTACATGTATAGGCTAGTTGTAAAATTGTTAGGTGAAATGTTAATATTAATAGTTGCAAACTTGGTTTAAGACTTTAAGTATTTAACACATTTTTTTTAAATTAAATTTATATACTTATTTTAACTTATTCAATTGTTTATAATTTAAATATGAAAGGTAAAATACTGACAATGTTTGAGAAATATTGAATAATAACTATAGTGCATTTAAAAACATAATATATACATTATACAGGACCAAATGCAGATATCTTGTCTGTGAATGATGTTATTTGGCGAACAAATAATGTATTAGAAGTTAGCCATCAACACCTTCGTATGCACATGGGTAATATGCATCAACCAGAACCATGGGTGTTTTTAAGTAATTTGTTTTATAATTTTTACTAATTTATATGTTTGTATTATGTTTGCTTATATACCTTAAACATAAAACATTTTTAACATTTTTCCTTCGTAACTTTAAAATTTTTATTAACTATAACTATAAAGCAACTACAAATTTCTAACAAAACAAATATAATTATCCATAATAGGTGTTAAACAACATTTCAATTTTACAGAAGGGTTAATTACATACTCTAGTGGTATATTGGCCGATTATAACTTGGCGATTGATGG